TAAAAACATTATATCCTTCTTGCATACGGGAGCCTAGGAAGTTTTAAAATCATGTTTAGCCACCCAGGCACTCACAGGCTGCTGTAGCCAGGGTCCCAGGAGGCTTGACTACAATAAAAATGTCAGCAGATCTTGGAATCAACCATGTGGTGTTAGTTCAGCTGGAATGCAGGAATGCAGAATGCTGGACAGGCTTACACTGAGATTTCAAAGGAAGGCCTGGGAAGCCAGACAAAGTGGAGCAAGGTTGAAATTCCTGCCAGCAGCCCCTGAGAGGGCAAGGTGTAAAGATGTGAGAAGGAAGCTTAAGCTGCAGTAAAGAACCCCAAGACCAAGAGAAGTCACTATTGTGGGATAGCTGCCATGGAAAGCTGCATGAATTGAGCAGAGAAAAGTCAAGAGAGAGGCCATATGGGCTGAAACTGAAAGGCTAGTGACTCACCCAAGACAGAGATTCAACCAAGAGATTTATTGGGGGACTGCCCGAAGGGGAAGAAAAGGAGAGGTAGAGAGCAGAGTGAGGAGAGAAAGAAAAGAAAGAGGGCAGAGAGCAGAGAGGAAGAGGGCAGAGAGCGTGAGCTTGCAAGCTTTGGCTTAAGAAGGGTTGCATAGGTGATGTGGCGGGTGCGGATTGGCAGGGTGACTTAGGAACAGCGAGTGGACACTGTGTCTCACTGGGACTGGTCGAGAAAACTTTTTAATTTGACGCCCTTTGGCTTGGCGCCCTTCGGCTTGGCGCCCTTCAGAGAGAAGGGGGAGGGGTAAGCGATTCCATGATGTTCTAGCAAGATGCAAACTTAACTTCAGCGGGGAGTCTCCCACATAACCAAGAGAAACAGCAAGGCCAGAGGGGTAGATCTACACAAGTCCTATTGGAGAGAACCTCACAATGCCATGTGCCCCAAATGCTGGACATGGAGCTACCAGACGTGTTTACCCAGTTAAATTTTGGTCCTGCTTTGGTCCCATCCGTTCTTTCTATGCCACAATTTCTCCCTTGTGGAACAGAAATGTTTACTCTATGGTCATATGATATATTGGATATATGTTGCTTTTAATCTTTATAGGGGAAAACAATTATGAGTTTGCCTTGAGTTTCAGAAGACATTTTGGACTCAGACTTTTGGGTAATGCTTAGAAATGTAAAGATTATGCAGATTCCTGGAAATAGATTAAATGTACTTTGCATGATAAAATGGGCCTGAGCTTTTGGGGGCTGGGGTGGAATGTTATGGTTAGATATCTCCAAAAAGCTCATGTGTGAGACAATGCAAGAATTTTCAGAGGTGAAGTGATTAGAGTATGAGAGATATAACCTAATCAGTAGATTTAAACCACTGATATGGATTAACTGGATAGTTACTGGGCAGGTGAGGTGTAGCTGGAGGAGGGGGGTCATTGGGGGTATGAATTTGTAGTTTATATTTTGTTCCTGGTGAGCAGAATTTTATACTTCCTGGTTACCTTGTCCTCAGCTGCTTTCCTCTGCCATGCCCTTCCACCCTGATGGTCCCCCTCATCTGGGGCCTGGAGATATGAAGTCAGTTGTCCATGGACTGAAACTCTGAAACTGTGAGCCAAAAGAAACATTTCCTCCTCTCTGTTGCTCTTATCAGGTTTGTCATAGCAACACAAATCTAACTAAAACACATCCTCAGCCCCAACTACAACCATAGGTAACTATAATAACAATGGATAAAAGATGCAAAGCTCACTTATTCGTTGTCCAAGAATTTCTATTTCTAGAACTATCCCAAGAACACATCAAAAGAACATATAAGGATGATTTATTTAACTGCCCAAAATGAAAAGCAACCTTAAAACCTCCAGGTAGGAGACGGCTTAAATTATGATGTCCATATAGTGAAATATAAATATATTTAAAAGATGACTATTTGAGTTTACTGATAGAGAAATTAATGATAATGGGGAAAGTTAGCTTGTACTTATCTCCCATATAAGGATATGTATTCAAACTGTCTGGCACAGGGGTTACTAATAAATATTTCTGAATGAATATATAAGTATGTTAAGGAAGGTCCTGGTTGTCTCTTGAAAAACTATCACATTCTTCTCTTTTTCTGGTCCTCATTATAATCAACCAAATGTGTTCCATCTCCCTTTGCCCCCCAAATACCATCATAGGACATTCCTTCATTTGCTTTAAAAATATCTATACGATTTAGTGAGCTGTTTCAAACTTTGACATTCCTTTAGTAGTAAAAGTTGTTAATTCATTAGTTAATGAATGTTGAAACTATGTGATTGAACATGGGGTTCATTATATTACTATATCTTTATATATGTTTAAATTTTCATAGGTTAATGAGTTTTCTAAGTTACTTATTGTTATGTAATTTTATCACTATTTCGTAATGAAATTAATCCTAGGCAAGGCATTTTAATTCCATATTCATTTTCAGATTGATAGAGCAAAGGTAATATTATATCCAATAGGGATTTGTGATAATTTATTAGAAATAGAGACATAGGGCTCTCAGCTCCTTGAAGTCAGTAGCCATTTTACCTAAACCCACATTTACTACTAAAGAACAAATGGGAGCATCTAAAGGCCATTGATTTTTTAAAACTGTTCTTGCATCAAGAAAATTTAAATGAATGTAAAAGGCTTTTAGAGGGTGAAGAGTATATAGCCTACAAGGAAAAATATATACAATATGACTCGCCAGGTTCCATTAAAAAAAAAAAAAACCGTTAATCCTTTCAATGATTATTTTTACTTTTTTCAATTAAGCATAAGCTATTTTTGGTGGCATCTAGACTAACTTTAGTTACTATTTAGATAAAGAGTTCCTAATTAAACAGCAGAAGTTTGTAGAGTATTAAGAGCAACGCCCTAAATCACCTCTACCAGCTTATTCATATACTCAACTCAAACACTATTTACCCACCCATCTCTCCTTATAAGTGCCTAAAAATTGCTATTATTGTTTATATAAATTAAGACTTATTTTTTAAAAAAAACTAATTTTAAAATCTAAACTTCTAATAACAACATCTAACACAATTCAGAAAGCTATTTAGAAGTTTGCCAAGTCAGCTTGACCTGACATGTGGGAGCAAAGAAAGCAAGTGATTAACCTGATCATAGAACTGAAATATTCAGCAGAAAAAGTGTTCACTGTTATAACAGTGTTGGGGCACAACTGTGTCCCTGCAAAACTCCATTATTGAAGCCCTAAACCCAAATCTTTTAAAGACACAATTAAACTAAAACGAGGCAATAAGGGCAGGCCCCAATCCAACTTAACATGTCCTTATATGAGGATGAATGTAGCTACTGACATAGACACCAGGGAAATGTGCACACCAGCAGAGACCCAATAAGACTTAGCAAGTACAGTTTTCCAAGAACCAAGGAGAGAGGCCTCAGAGGAAGCCAACCCTGCTAGCAGAATGACCTTGGACTTCTGGCATCCAGGACTGGCAGAAAAAAAATTCTGTTGTTTAAGAAGATGGGATGCCATTTGTGGTATTTTGTTGTACCAGAACAGGCAGACACACAGAATGTATAATTTGTTTGCCCACTAATGAAAAGGTGACCAAGGAAGAAATGGTACTGCTCCTCCTCACAAAAGAAATCTCAATTACTGTCATGTGACCCGCTTTCTGTGATATAAATCTTCACCACTGTGTTAAACTATTATACACTGTAAAAATGTATAGGAATTTATTTAGTCTATTCCATGTTAATGGCTTTTAAGCTATGTTTAGATTTTAGGGATTTCATGCAAAACATTTTAACAATACTACAAGATAATGTTCTTGAAGTAAAAGTTCTAACATCAAAGTATATTTACATTGATGTTTTGACATATTACTGAAGAAAGTAGCAACTTATACTCCTAACATCATTTGTGAATGAGTAGTATTTGCCAATTTTGCTTTGTATCGCTGATACTTAGAATAACAAACTTCTTTCATGTGTTTGGATGTATTAAGTATAGATTTATTTCCTTCTTTTAAGGTGGCAATTTTGAAAGGCCAAATGACTTCAGAGAAATTTATGAAATTATATCTATTCACTTCTATCTGGTATCATCTGGCTTGGTGAGCAAAAGCATTCCAGTTAATCTTTCTAGAATACAAAACCCATTGAATGATATGGTACATAAAAGCATGAAGACCTTACAACATATCATTTTTAGGGGAAATATAGGTTTTCCTGTCACTTTACTTTTTCAGCCTATACTCCAATTATGAAGAAAAAAGTGATCAAAAATGAAAATAAAATAATAGAAAAGAGAATAGTAGGGTAAAGAGAGGGCAAGCAAACCAGAATCCAACACTGCATAGGAAGTCTTAAGCTCTCACTAAGTAACCCCTGGAAAACTGTGTGGAGGTCACTGTAGACACCAAGAAATGCTGATCACTTGCTATGGATTCCCTAGAAAGATACTTCCTTTCAAAGTCTAATAAGTTCTGAGATGAATGAGACAAATTTTCTTCTTTTCATGGTAAAAATTTATATCCCATTCAAATCAAAGCAAACATGTACTACTGAAAATAATTTCTGATCTAATAATGAGCATTTCTGTTCGTGAAGTTCAAATTCTATTATGTAGTAATTCATGCTTTCCATCCTTCCTCCTTAAGTGATTTCAAAAAAATATCAAATTCACATGTATTATCCTATTGTCACATAATGCCTCTGATTAAAATTATTTTTCTATGAGGAAAAAACCAAAACCAACCATATCTTATAACAGCTCACCACTTGGGCAAGGCTCTTGATGTAGTTATTTCCCTAATTTCCTTACCCCAAATTATTAAAACTGCTTCCAGAAGAATAAACAAGCCATCACAGACAATTTTTTGTTTCAGTTACATAAAACCTAGGTCAAATCTTGGCTTTCTTTCCCTGGCATTTCTCTACAATAAGGTGACAAAAATGTTCCTGATAAAAATATCTTTTTTTTTTTTTTTTTGAGAGAGAGACTCACAGTTAATAACTGCTAGACTTAATTCTTTGCACTTACCAGGGAGGAAAGATGTGGATAACATCCTGGGGACATCCCTTGAGGTAACATGCAGTCTCCTGAGTAAAGAGAACTTTCAGGCTGGCTCCAGGCTCTGCAGCCACATCCCTGGAAGGAACAGCAGCTGTCGACCCCACTAACTGTTCACACATGGCAACCTGCATGGTGCATTCCTCGTGTAGCTCTAGAATTTTCACAGTTAATACACCAGATTTTCTACCTGGAAGTTGAAGAAAAGAATGAAAGAAGAAATGAAGTCCAAAACACATACGGTTTAAGTGTAAATAAAGTATCAAGAAAAAAAATCCACATTCAGATACCTTTCTCCACCTAAGAAAATGGTCTACATACTTTGCAAAATAAAATACAGATTCTACTGCACTCACTGTAACATCTTTCTTTAATCCAAACAGGACTGAATGTTTCATTTAATATATTCATTTTAGGGCTGGGATTGTGGTTCAGTGGTAAAGCACTCGCCTAGCATGTGTGAGGCACTGGGTTTGATCCTCAGCACCATATAAAACAATAAATAAACAAAATAAAGGTGTTGTGTCCATCAACAATTAAAAAAGAAATCTTTACACACACACACACACACACATTCATTTTAAGCAACACAAAATAAAGTCTTCTATCATGAAGAAATAGTTCTGTGCATATGGAAACTTCAGACCAATTATTTCAGGGAATGTTTTTACTCTCAAACTTGAACTTTTTTGATAACAACAGCAAAGGGTATATGGATACTGTTGCTCCTTCTCTCTTATACCTTCCCCCCTTTATTACGTGTTTTGATTCTCTGCTTTGAAACTATGTATATTGCTGGTTGGCTGCAGCGGTTCTGATGATCATGAAGTTTAAAAGTTGAGGATCTACATAGACCACTGGGTGTGAGGACTCTGGATTTAAATGGGTGAAATTCATTTTGGATTTGCATACTGGCTCTCTTTTATAAAACTGGCCAATTACATATCATTTCAGTCTCTCAGTTTTCTCATGTATGAAAAAGAAATCATAATACCTACCCCAGTGAACATTTGGGGAATGAGATAAAGAGTTCTACATGGCACTTCCAGTGAATGAACCAGATCAGCATGTATCAATAGAGAAATCTCAAAATAAGAGGTGACAAACCAAATATACCAACTATTATACCTTGTAATGTAATTTAATAAAACCACAGAAACCAATACAATATTGTTTATGGATATGTATGTCCTACAAATAGAAATGCAGAATAGAAGGACTCAAGAAAAGCCATGGTAGCTGATGTCTCTAAGGAGAAAAAGAGAAGGTGACTTAGGAAGGGAGCTGGGGATTTCAAATTTATCTGATATATTGTTTGTATTGAAAAAATATAAGAAGCAAAAGACAAAAGATTACCATGTGTTATTACTTCTAGGTAGTGAGTACACATATTTTTTTATTACTCTCTATGCTACTTTTTTTTTTTTTTGGCAGGGGGGTTGGGTACCAAGGATAGAACTCAGTTTAACCACTGAGCCACATCCCTAAGCCTTTTTATTATTATTATTTTTATTTAGAGACAGAGTCTCACTGAGTTGCTTAGGGACTCACTAAGTTTTTGAGGCTGACCTTGAACTCAAGATCCTCCTGCCTATGGGGTTAGAAATGATGGTGGAACGTGATGATCATTATTATCCAAAGTACAAGTATAAAGACACGAATTGGTGTGAACATACTTTGTATACAACCAGAGATATGAAAAATTGTGCTCTATATATGTATTAAGAATTGTAATGCATTCTGCTATCATATATAAATTTTAAAAATTTAATAAGAAATAAAAGATCCTCCTGCCTTAGCCTTCTGAGCCGCTGGGATTACAGGCATGTGCCACCACGCCTGGCTTTCTATGCTATTTTAATTTTTAAAAAAACTTAAAAAAAAATATATGAATTCAATGAGAGTAACAAAAGTGAAATATCTACCCTAATGTCTGGTTGATAAATAGACATTCCCTAAGGTAAATTTCTATAGCATTCAACCCAAATGCTTAACAGTAAATAATAAAAGAAAAAATTTAGATAGTGCCAATTTTTTAGATTTTTAGTTTGATTTCATTTTTCTTTCTCCCTCTCACATTTGCTTCATTCATTTCCACTTGATCCCAAACTTTTCATTCTTCCTTTGTCTAAGTGCCAACGGCTTGTATCCACATATTGAGCTAGGCCACATGCCTCTCCAAAGCACTGTCCTATATTACTGTTTATCAAGATCTGTGTCTATCTTGGTACTTTTTTAAGGTAAGGTAGTTGGAATGGGGGAAGGATATGAACAAGCACAATGTTAAGCTGTTTGCTGGTTACTAGGGGGAAGGGAATAGAGGTATAATAACAAGTATCTAAGGAAAGTGCTGATTAGGAAGTAAACACACAGTTGTTCTGCCACAATGTGTCTTTAATGGAAAGTAGCTGCACTTTAGTTGGTAAAGAGGAAAAGAAGTCAGGATCACATGAAGGTCATTTTGGTCCAAAGATTTCCCCTGCAGGGGAGCTAGAGCAGTGGGTGGAGAATTGGAGTCTTTGGAAACAAAGGGAAAAGTCCCAGATGAAGGGCTGCAGTGGCCAAAGGAACATTTCTGGACAAAGTTTTTGAACTGTTAAAACTTGTGCCTATATTCTGGGTTCATTCCCAACACTGTGCAGGCCTGCTGCTAGCCCCATATCAAGGTGAGGTGACCCAGTTGAACACAGGCTCTTGGTCCTGTGCACTTGGGTATTTGTTGTGCATTCACAGTTACTTGTCCAAGCAGCACAAGTCCTTTCTTGCCTTATCCATTCTTGCCTTATGTGGCGTAGGTTAAAATGCAATATAGATATTCAGTGGTCTGCTCCAACCTTAAGAGTCCACAGGGACCCTGAGGGATTTTTATAAAAGAAAGGCTCTTACAGAAACACACAAACAGTATTACAGCAGCAATATCTATGTATCTAAGATGAACCACACTGTCACTGATTAGTTTCTTTGAAGATTACTAAGATCAATTCTAGCAATATTCCCAAACTATGAATTCTGCTCAAGATCTGTAGCACACATAACTTATAAAATAACAATTTATTTTATGATGTTTACTGTCACCATGGTGCTGTACACCACAGCTTGCTTGGTGACTGAACAGGCTTGGGTAGCTGTGATGAACAATGTCATTATGTTCCCAGCACCAGGCAGAGGAGAGCATTAAGCTTTTGTCCACATAGATAGGCAACCCTCCAGGGTCCTTGGGAGAAACCAGTGCCTGCCTTTCCAGACAAAAACAAAGCAGTGAAGTTCCCTCTTCTCTAAGGGAGCAAAAAGCATGGGCAACAGCCAAATTACGTGCTTGAGGCAAGTATTTAATCCAAGAAGAGATAGTCATTTTACAAACAGAAGAGTATTTTACAATTAGATGAATGATACATAAAAGACCATTTCTGTGCCACCAAGGAAACATTCTCTCATAAATGCTGTGAGCCTCAGCCAAAATATCACCTCATCCAGAAAATGTTTCCTGAATTCCAGCCAGAAGCAATTATTTCTTCCCTTTGAAATCCTCAAATATCTTTATTTATCTCACTATTAAGAGTGGCTTCCCAAGACAGCTGCAATCTGGGAGACAACACAAAGAGCCCACAGCATAGTGCCTGGCCCAGCATATATCCAATAATGGTACCCAGCATCATTATCATCAGGTTTTCAAGGAATTTTCAAGTAAATTCTCTTACATAATCCATAATAACCCTATAAAACAGGTAAGGAAGATATTAGTCCCTTTCTTTGAAAGAGGAGAAAACTGAAAATTTAAGCTGTCCACAGACTTCTTAAGGACACAGGGTTACTGGTAGGCCCACTCTTAGAAACTGAGTCTCCTTATAAACTAAGAGTCAATATGCCTCTTGGGTAAATGCTAATTAGAAATAGAAAATTGTAAGTAATGCTCTTCCCCATACTTTATGATGCTAAAACAAAGGGCTTGTTTAAAATGTAACAAAAGAGAGCACATCAGGTTAAGAAATGGCTCCATAAGGCCTATCACTGTGGCTAGAAAGGGTAAAGATTTCAACAGAACTTGCACTGAGAAAAAGAGAACACACTGTCAAATACTGAATATCAAAGAGAAAGTACCACATTAATACACAACAGTAATAACCTTAAATTATTAAGAGGAGGAGAAAAACTCATATGGAAGATATAACATAAGATCTAGTAATTTCTATTCACATATATGCCTAGCAGATTAAACAGTCCTTAGTTAAATATGCACAATATTTAACATTAAGGCTAGCATTTACTGAATGAATTCATGAATGAGGGATTTTTTCTCACTGTGCTAAAAACCCCCCCAAAAAAGTCGTCATTGGTTTTAAACAATCAAGAGGCCACAAAAAAATTGAGTGATATAAGAACAAAATCTACTGGTGATTACTGAGATCAATGACTTGAAATATACAGGTAGCCAGCACCCATTTATATGCATGTCAACTCAAACTCTCTATGTGGATTTTGTTAATGAATTAACATGTATTATGAGGATAATGAATGTTACACAAAAAGCAAAGTGAAGCAAGTTAATACATGGGGAGAAAATTTGAAATCATTCTTCTATAGGGGTCAGGAACTTCTTTAAGTTTTTTTCTAACAGAAATATTGTTCATGATAGTTGCCACTACTAACATTAAATTGTCCATTTTATTATCAAAACATTGACCACATGGTAATTTAGAATTTTCCTTCTACATTATTACTCTTTATCTTTTTATTTTCACAGATATCTCAATATGCTCACCTATCCAGTATTCTGCCTTAAAAATGTCTTACTATTCCCGAAATTGGCAATTTTTCCCTTCTTTAGGTCAATTCATCAACTGTGTCCATGTTCCTTTTCCACTTACTCTTCACCTAGCACATAAGTATATTCTCTCTCACTCTCTCTCACTCACACACACACACACACACACACACACACAAACACAACTTGTGTATGAAGAGGAGGTCAGCGACAGACATCAGAGGACTTTAAAATCTACCTGCTTTCCCTGCAAACAGGATCTCTGTCCTTAACAAGCATTCTGACACTGGTCTTTACCAGCTGTTATTATTCTGTTATGATTCTCTTTGTTGTACTCATGCCGAATTACCAAGCTATAATCATTAATCATTTCATATTTTAGTCTTTTTAAAACAGAATTTTAAAGTTCTACTAAAAAATACATATAG